TAAGTGCCTTATTTGGCAACAGCATGCCTATCTCATTGTGTATTTGAGCCTCAAATGCAAAAGTACCCCCATATGGCCTCCCACACCACTGCAGTAGGGCACAACACATATCAGGCATAATTGTATATTATTTCCTTATTTAGATGTGTGTTAAAACATCGAAATTGTTGCCTGAAAGAATGAAACAAAAATGAAATAACTGCCTGGAAAGAATGAAATGAAAATTCCATGGCAATGAATGAATGAAAAAAATGAAACAGTTGCCAGGAATGAATGAAACGAAAGAATAAAGCAAAAAATGAAACAGTTGCCATGGTGGAATGAAATTAAAAAAATGAAAGAGTCGCCAGGCATGAATGAAACAGAATAAATTTCATTCTTGTCAGTAGAAATGAAGAAAAAATTGAGATGAAATGAAATGAAACAAAAAGTATTTCATTCTCGACGGCAATGAATGAGAATGACTTGGAATGAAACAGGTGCCGTGAATGAATGAAAATTCATTTCATTTCATTCACGGTAGTTAAGCAGGAACTTCTATGGTACATGCCAGGTTTTACATGATGTAAATGGCAGCTACTAGTGAACGACAATGCACAACGACGGAGAACAATGATGCACAACGACAGCGGACAACGATGCACGATGACAGCGGACGATGCTGCACGATGACAGCGAACGACGATGCATGACGACGGCGAATGGCGATGGTGAATGACGAGGTATGATGACGGCGAATGAGACATAAAGGTGGAACACAAGGGAGCGGCGAGGTGCCATGTCGCAGTCAGCGACGTGCCAACTGAATGAGGAATCACTTCTGTGGGCGCAGGTGAGCAAGAAAGAACCTTCCCCTCCACGTTCTTTCTTTGACGCACAGTCTAGGTGCCATGTAAGCCTTCAGAGAGGTATTTTTCGTCTGTTCGTCAGCACCCTGTTTCTCTAACATTCATTTAATCTGCAGAAACATCGTATTTGCAGCCCTCGCATTGTCGATGAGGGCTGCAAAGACATCGACTGCGTCAACGGCATTGCAGTCAATGGCAACGGCACCCTACGTTACCTACACAACCACCGCAATTCAAGTGAACAACGTGGCAACAACGGACTGTTTCCACTCGCACCTCGTTGCCCTCCTCTCCATCTGCGAAGTTTCTTTTTCCAGGGCTCAAATCTCGTGGTACGATGGCCCCCCAGACGAGCAGACAAGATGGTGTTGAAGAGGTTGGGGACGTGTGGTGCAAAGTTGAAGGAAGGCCGTTGTCCTGCAGTGCGTTTATATGCATCTCATTCAACTAACATCCTAACATCCACCTGATTAGAATCCACTACACGACGTCGAGCTATCCACTTGCGTATCAGTCACCCTTTCCAACATGTTTAGCTGGGTACCCTGTCAACAACATCGAGCCATACGCTTGCGTATCACTCCCCTTTTCTGAAGTGTTTAGCTTGGGGCATCGTGTCGTATGTTCATTCGCACCAAGTTCATCGTCACCTACGTCAACGGCTTAACCAGCACCCTATGTCTCATCTCAAATTCATCGCCATTCGCTTGCTTATCACTCCCTCTTTCCAACACGTTACTCCATCAACGACGTCCTTCGTCGCCTGTCAACGATGTCCATACCCTGTCAACGAGTCCGTTCACCTATCACTCTCCCTTTCCAACAATGACACTCCTCCTTTCCAAGATGTTTAGCTCCGGTGTGATGTGAGATGACAGCGTGTTTGGGGAGGGAGTTACATGTTAGTTTTTGATGCTTTTTTTTTCTCAGATCATGTAGTTTCCTTGCGCTGCGTCGAGTAGTCCTGTAGAAGGGACGTACAATACTGGAAATGCAAACTATTAACTAAATCTTTGAGCTCAAGGGCATGATCACTGAAATCAAACAAATGCAAATGAAACCACCACGCGTGCAGTAGTTTCATTTGTCCCTATTGACGTCGACCTCCCTTCAGCCACCATCTCTTTACTTGTGGGTGTGGGCCAGTGCTTTGCATGGCATGTATGAGTCCTTTCTGTGGACTCTAAATTTAATATTAGGAAATTGGTCATGTAATCACTTTATGATTTTCTGAGTTTTGTTCTATATTTGCAAATAGACCGTGAGCTCTGAGCCTAGCCATCAATATCATAGCAACAATGTGTGCTATTCTTTTTTTTTTTTTTTTCATTTTATAGCAAATTTTCCCAATTTTATAACTATTTTTCTGTTTATGGTAAAATATTCCCACAGTCCTGTTTGCATATATCTCAGGAAAGAGGATGGTTAGTTATATTTTGTGACCTATAATAGCATGCTCTATATATTTGTGATGAATTTCCTTTTTTGGGTTAAAATTCCCACGGTATCAGAAACACAGCCTCTCACTTAGCTCCATAAACAACAATTGTAGCCCCTTTCCTTACCTTTATAGATATATATAAATAATGTCATGCAGACCATTCCTCATTGAGAAAATCACAAAATACTGAAAAAATTGGACACTTTTTGGAAATTGTCATGCATTTTTGACCAATATCTGAAAGAGCAAGAAAGCTGGTCTCAAGATATAGTCACATTGCATAATATGACAATATTTTTACATAGTTGTCTTGATTTTCCATATTTGGATATGGACACAGCCCCTTCAATATCATGGCAACAGAGAAGATCACTCTTAATTTTTGGGTATTTTTTTCTGATTTTCTGGCAACTTTTAGGTGGTTTCTATATTTAGATATTGACCCTGAACCCTGAACACAGCCTCCCCACCTTACTAAACAATATTCCGATTTTTTACATATTTTTTGCTGATTTCTTTTATGATTTTTCCTGATTTTATGGCTGCTCTTCTGTTTAAGGGAAAAGGTTCCTGCAGTGATGAAAGGTAAATGAATCAATGAATGAAAAATTTGCCTAAGTCCTCAGTTGATAAAGAATGAGTCTTACTCGTAAACTCGTAAGGACTCATTACTTGAAATCTGCTATGGACTCTGACACTTCCAGTTTGGCTCACATGGTAAACTGTCTGTACTAATTCCACTCTCACTAAAGCAAGCACTCACACTGGTTCACCTCTTTCAGGTCCTTCAGAATGCCGTGCTGTCTCACCTGTGTTCTCAGCCTTTCCTTGGGCCACACCACATGTTGTGCACATTCCAAAGCCTTTGACTGACTTCACCGATGTAATGTCACCTCACAAGGTACTTTATTTCTTTGTGGCCTTGGTTGTAACTTATCAGACTGCTTTTAGCACTTCATCAATTCGCTAAATTGATTTGAGCGCTCGCTCTTTGCCTTTGATGATAAACTTGCCATCAATTCTACCGAATTAGCACCGCTTCTAGGCTTAGATGTCCTGAAAGCATCCAATGCGGTCACTCTACATCCAACGGCAATGACTGCATCATCAAAGGGGGAGTACAAAACCCTCGCTTCCATTGTTTCTGCATATTGAATGTTTGAGGTCTTGGCTCTTGACTGCGAAATTGGTGGTTTGCAACCTCCCATTTGCCTGCTTTACCCCTTGTCTTTCAACAAGTCTGAGAAGGATAGTGAAAAGATTGTTGTACATTGATTTATATATATATTCTGATCTTCAAGCTAATTTTCCTTGCTTGCAGGGGTTTGACAAACTAGAAAATTGGCCCAAAGTTCTGCTTAAGTTCTGGAAACTTATAGGTCAGTCGGGACTACCTCAAATTCCTGACGACCTCCAAGCAGGAAGCAAACACCTTGCACTGCTACGGATGGCAAGCAAGAACAAAGAAAAAGTAGGCTACATTAATGTGGTCGACAACTTTCTTCAAGCCGCTCTGCATCTTTACTACCTCAAGATGACCCAATTCCCAGATGGGTCTCTGCCTGACTATCCTGATATTTTAAATGACCGTCTCCAGTGCGTTAGACTCATGTCACATTGATATCTGATACTCATATCTTTCAGCATCTTCAAAGACGAGACCTCTACAGATGAATTCATCAATGATCAAGAGGAGGGGACTTACTACTTGGAAGATTTACGTGATGGAGAGACAGCTTCACACACGCTCCACCAACTTGGGACACCTCTGCAATTAGCACTGCTCCTGACTCCTTTCTATTTGCTCTTTCCATTCCAGATAATCACCAGGTCTTACAATTGTCGACTCGTTCTTGAAGCCTTTGCAGAGTTAACCCCTCGGAAGACACCCCTCGTGCTTAAAATTGAGAGATCCATCTGGTGTTCTCTTATAGCGCTTGCTGATGTGACCATCACGCCTCATGAAGCTTTAATACAACTGGTGTCAAGATTGCCATGGGCCGAGATAGAGGCAGCATCCAACAACCCCCGTGATTGTCATATGTTTTGCACCCCTTTAGGTGAGAAATGTTAGACTGCTTTTCAAACTTCATTTATTTATTCTTTGTTGTATTTACAGCCCAGCCCTCTTCTTCTTCAACACCATTACAGCCTGGTTGTGTTGGGAGGCAATTAGCAATAGAAGGTGCCTCCAACACCCTTACTCCGGACATACAAGTTAGTGGGCCCATGCTAGAAGCCTCAGTCATCCCCAACACTCAACGTTCAACATCAATTGAGGACAATGCAACTTGCATCAATGAAGAGCATCTTGAAGCTCCAATGGACCATGATGGTGATTTCCCAATGCTCCCCACACCATTACCCACCTCGAAACGTCCTGAATCTCCCTCTATGCCTGCCCCCACAATGGACCAAGATGGTGGTTCCCCAATGCTTCCCACGCCATTACCCACCTCCAAACGTCCTGAATCGCCCTCTACCCCTGACCATGATGGTGGTTCCCCAATGCCAGAAAGTCTAGAAACTTCATTGGCCTCAGTTCTCAACTCAGTTTTTCAATCCCGTCCCATTTTATCCCCTCACCTTGGGACTGTTAATCCCTCTCATATCTCCCTCCCGCTCAATGTGTTGGGAGAAAATCTGGCCAAGAAGATATTGAGATGGGCGCCCTTAGTGAATTATCATCATCATCTGAAGACGAAGATTCTGGTGGGTTGACATGTTACCTTTTTCTTGCATTTATGATCTGATAAAAATCAATGTTTACTGTATCCTAGAGCATTCGCCAGCTAGGCCTGCGAAAAAAACAAATCCTGAGGTGCAACTGTCTGACAATGACGATACCGACGATGAAGGTGAGGCAGGAGCTGTGTTTTTGCTTTTGTTTTCTGCTGAAGCTCATCATGTGGAACACTTCTTAGCGAAAGCGTCCTCAAAGAAGTGGGACAGTCGTAGGGAGTCTGACGAATACACGTACAGAGGTGTGGTGACCCTCGGAGAGGTCAAGTAAGGTGACTAGATGCGCGGGATCGTAGAACGTGACAGTTCACGGTACTCGTATCCCGATCTTCACAGACAGTTCCAGTGAAGATTGCTCTAGCAGCGGTCACGACCTCTTGTAATCCACGCGTTCTCTGAGAGCTAGATGCAGCCGTTAGTAGGGCTAGTATCGAGCGATACAGAGTGGTTGGTGGTGAAAAGAAGATATATTCACCTCATGTAAAACATGAGGTGTAAGTACAATGCTTATGTAATGAAAAGTAATAACGCGTAAATAAATGAAACACAGAGAGGTGGAGCGAGAGTTGAATCTCGGGGAGTGGGAAGTATCATAAAGTAAGATGTAGAGATGGTGAGGCTTACTGTACTATCATGTTACAAAGCCCCCCACTTTCCACTTTCCGCTTAATCCCATCGTTGTTCGGGGAACATAATGTCATCGAGGAGCTGCTTGTGCCAAGTGGGTCTTAGGCCCGCTCGCGAAATCCCATCCATGACATCCGTGAAGTCTTGGGTGATAGGTAGATATCGTGGACGACGTTGACCCCGCTCGTTGTTCCTGATCCAGTTCTTCCACTTCTCCTTTGTACGCAGCTTCCCTTTTCCTCTAGCGATGTCATCCGCCAGCCTTCCGTAGATGTGATCCAAAGCTGCATTCCACTCGCCTGTCCAGAGCTCGAAATTGTTGTCGAAGATCTCCGCTGGCGGGAATAACCACTTTCCTGAACAACTGTTAATGCCAGTGCAGTAGCCGAGAAGCAAGTCTTTCTCCTGTTCGGAGACTGCGTCGTGAGATAGATATGAGGCATCCTGGGACGCGGAGTCGTAGAACCCCCGGTTGTGGACCGTGACTTGAATGGATGGGCCAGACATAAATTCTTCTATGAGTCGAACGCCAGTCCAGCGCCTAGCGATCCAGCTGAATTGTCCTCCTTCTCCTATAAAAGCTTGTGCATGAGGGCGGCGAAGCAAATCATTCATTCTTGCTAAATAGAGGGTGCAGAAAGTCGCCATGTTCTCCGCCGGGGATAGATTTGGTTCTTGAAATCCCGCGGTGTATAGAGACGAAGCTGAGGTGCGGTCGAGACTGTCGACAATGATTGGCCGGAATTGTCGCAGGCGGTCCTGTGGTAACGCTAAATAAAACTTGAGGCCGTGTTCGATAGCTGTGGACAGAAGTCGATGTATGGTCCCTATGGTATCCCAACAGTTAGCCCAGTACCTGAGCCGAGCTTCACTTTCAATGTCTGGGATGAAGATGTACGCTGTCTCTAGGAAGTCTGCATTCCATGCAAAGCCCGGTGCAAACCATGTGCTTTCGGTGTATGTGATCTTCGCGGATTCGTCCTTCAACATTCTTCTGAACATGACTTCTGGCCTTTCATGCGATACGAAGAAAGGGTCTGACAGGCGTGCCGGTGATTGAGAGCGACGGTAAGGGGAAGGATCGATTCCACGCGCTGCTCGAGCTTCTGAGGTTTGACGTCGAGATTGCTCGAGTTTTTTCACGTTGAACCGAATCCATGCTGCGGGACTGTTCACGGCGCGGGGGTGGTAGAGAACTTCCGGAACTTCGACGAACCTAACGAACAGAAGATCCTCGTCTGTAGAACCGCTGCATGAGTCTGCGGACATATCGTCGGTACGTATGTCACTTGAGAGGCGGTCTTGAAGGGATCAATTTCCGCCTAGACGTTCAAGAAGGGAGGGGCTCTGGCGATTATGCCGTGAGGTGATGAGACCTGTTTCTCGGTCGTACGTTGTCCCAGTTCTGGGGGCGTAGTCGAATCGGAACTCTTCACAAATTAGATATGCAATTTCTTCTCCTGGTAGGTGCGCCTTGTATCGCCTTCTCAGATATTCGTCGCGTGGCAGCCTTTTCCTCCATCTCCAGAATACGACAGTCTTGTACTCCTTGTCCCCGTCCTCCTCTAGGACTTTGTAGTGGTAGAATTTCGCGAGGCTGGCGAGCGTTGCGTCGTCTCGTTTAACGGGTCGCCTCTTCCACCCTTCGAAGTCAATGATAAAGGCTGAATAGGTGTGGAGGATGGGTGCCTCGTCCGTCCCTTGGTACGCAAATATCTCTTGAAAGAAGTGGTCTAACGTGGTCGCTTGACGAGCGATCTTGTTGATGTCTGCTTCTTCGAGGTCTGGAATTAGGGTTAGTGGCGTCCCCTGTCGTACTGCCCAGTAGGTCATGTTCAGGCCGGGATTGAGACGGCTGAACCTTTCATCGGAACGTGCTTCAAAATCCCATAAGTAAAAGAAGGGGATGTCGTGTTGAAGGTACAGAGGGATGTTAATCGTCTGCCAATCCCTATCCAAGTCGCAAATCACGCCTCTCCTAGTTTTAACGGTGGAAAGGATTGATGATACTTGATGGACGACCGAGTCTGCGAGGTCCTTCTCCCAATTGACAATGATTGTGGTCCACCAGGCTAGCCATCCGATAGAGTGAAGGGCGGATCGTTTCGCCTTTGCCGCGTTAATCTGAACGAGCTTCTGCGTGGGGTAGATTTTGGCTAAACGTTCCGTGGGGAACACGCCTGGAACTGTCATGCGGCGAGATACGCGTTCATCGAAATCGACAATGTAACGGATACATGCCTGGACTTGAGTGAGATCGAGTGAATATTCTCGACGCTGGATTTCTGCCATTGACCAACCTCCATCCCGTTCTTCAACCGGTACCGCGGTTTCGAGAAGATCGTACCAAGGGCGTTGTTGCGCAATGAATGACGTTGGTGTCCAAGGGGCCCATTGTTCTTCGAATCGGTACCAATCGGGGTCCCTGGCGTTGTCAAAGGGTAAGATTTGGCCTGAATCTGAGAAGTCGTCTGCGCTCCACCCTGGATCAGGTAGATTTCTGAAAATTATCGCGGAATCTGGGATAAGCGATGTGTCGGAATTCAGACCTACCCAAATCGCGTCGGTGTCTGCTCTAACCGTCGTGGTAGCAAGGGGGTTCAAGTGGTGAATTAAAGACTCCATGTAGGCTAGATCAAGCAGGACAGTCCACTGCGAGATATGCCGTCCGCCTACTGTTACTCGTGGACAGTCCCTCCGAATGACAGTAGAGGCAGGAAGGTGAAGGGGTGTAAGGCTGGAACAGAACGCCAGTTTTGAATAGGAACGTGGCCTTGATTGATGAGATGATCGGATTGGAATGATCAACGCGGAAGCAATGCGTTTTCATTCCTCCAACTGAGAAAAAAAAGATTAAGTAGTCGAAATATAGATAAGAGTGAAAGAATACGAAAAAGAAATGAGGCATAGGTTAGGTACAATGCGTGTGCTTCAAAGGTTGTGTTCCAAACGATACTCTTTCAAAATGAGCGGCGAATTCTTGAGATCGGTGGCTGTGGCCCAGGTGTCGAATTGCGGCCCGTAGTCCGCCCATCGAACCAAGTATCTCAAGGCTGCCTTCTTGCCAATCCGCTTATGCCCTACGATCCTCTCTACTTCGAACTCCTTGGATTCGGGTTTCCATAGGAAGGAGTCCGGCAGGACGGCTCTGTTTTGGTAAGTTGTGTCGGTCTCGTACTTTTTCAAATGTTGCACGTTGATGATGGGTGACCCCGGATAGTTATCGCCCATTCTTAGACGATAAACGTTCGGGTTGATTTTCTGGAGGATCTCGAATGGGCCAATCCATCGTGTCATAAGTTTAGCTCCCTCCCCTTTAGCTTCTGACCATTCTAAAGAGTGTGGATTTACCACTTCAGTCACCCACCTTGACCAAGCTATTAGCTAGGAAATCCTGAAAAATTATCCAGGCTAATAGATCCTCTGGCTGGTTTTTTTTTGGCCTTTGGAAGAAAATATATTATTGGATTTGATAGAAAATGTTTGACCTCTAATATTGTGACTAGAAATATTTGGGTAGATAAATTGTGTTCAAAAATATCCAAGTCAAGTGAAAGTGGTCAGAAATATTTGAAGGGTGTCAGACTGGTAAGAAATTTTTGAAGTGTTTCAAACTGGTAGGAAATTTTTTAGCTGTGTGACACTGCTGAAAAATGTTTGAGTCATGTCACACTGCTAAGAAATTTTTGAACCATGTCATACTGCTAAGAAATTTTTTTGCCATGTCACACTGCTTAAAAATCTTTTGACCATGTCACACTGCTCGGAAATGTTTAAGCCATGTCACATAGGCAAAAAATTTCCTGCCAGTGTCATGGAGTATCTGGGGTCCTAGTTTCAAAAAAAAAACTTCAAACTTTTATCTTCTGGATTCAACTTTTCTACAAAATTTATGATAAAGATCATTTTGGTCCTAAACTTGCCCTTTTATTTTATATTGTATTTTTATTATAGAAAAACCAGATTATATATTGCATTCAGCTCTATCTATTGGTAATAAGCTATTTGTTATATAGTTATAGCCTCTAAATTCTGCTCTATCAGATAATAAAGGTTGTTACTGACTGCTTTTATGTTGAGTGTATATTAATAACTATCTATAATAGACTAGCCTTACTTTACTGAATTATTACTGATGTGTAAGCCATATTTCTTCACTGAAGTATGTTCCTGAAGACTAGAGAGACTTCAGGAACTGTCAGATTGAATATGCCAGCTTGTTTTTCTTTTCACTTTTATAGAGGTATATTTCTGAGCACTGCAGAGAGCTCTGAGGATTGTCAGTGTCTGAAGTTATAAATATGTATAATATGATATGATGTATTCATATCTGTTGACCATAATGACATGCTGACTACTAGTACTTTACTGTGCCCCACCTATTTCTGCAGGAATGGTTAGAATCTCTTAGAATTCTGATCTCTCTATTACAAATATTTGAATTTTCTTTTTTAGATATACAACAGTACCCAACAACAAGTCCTATTTTTTTTCAGATTTTTACCACATTTTCTAAATGACTT